ATTCTGAATACCTGGTTGTTGTTTTTTACGCATGGTTTGGTTAAATTAACACTGTTTATAAATGAGGTGCTTCAAAACCATTGTACAGGTCAGCCATTGATTTATTTTTAAATGCTCTACTTTCCACTTCTATAAAGGTTTCTTTCTGTGAGTTTTACTGTTATCAGACACCACTGAAAGTTAGAATCCCCTCCAAACAGCTGCTGGGGATTCTGCATCTGATGTTGTGCTGCGTTGTAGCCCCTCTGATGCTTATTGAATATCCTGTTGATAATTTCCACCTGTTTATATTTGATTGTAAATTTACAGCTACTTCTAGAGTATATCTACTAGCTTGCATGCTTTTGCGCTCTTTTGTCTCCTTTACTGTGGCCACAGAGCAAAAAATCGAACAGTGGTAGCACAGTCATTTAGTGGTTGACCGCTATAGATCTAAAGATAGGTGAACTGCAGCTTGTGAATGTCAGAGAGGAAAGCTGTGAACAAGTTTTGAGTGCTCTTAGTAATTTATCTGTGATTAACACAGAGTAATTTGGTCTGTATTATTATTATTATTATTATTATTATTATTATTATTATTACTTGACATATACACAGTATGTGGACACAGTCTTGTGCTTCATGATATTTAAAAAATATGTGCTTCCTGTTCAGTATCAATCAAAGTACAGCTGCTGCTAACACATATGGATCAGGCAGGTCTGACTTTTCTTCTGTTTCTTATATAAACAGTTTAAGTGTCTCACTTTACATCATGTTCTTCCTGTTTGTAAACTGCTGTGAGTGCTGCAACACCCAGTCTGTAGTCACTATTTAATATTCAAGCAGAATAGAATGAATACCTGAATTATCAACTGCCTTTTTCCTCACATCTATTAATGAATCATATCATTAATTATGTCCATTTGCAGATTAACTTAAAGTATAAGAATCCTGCAGTAGCCCTGGTTCACAACTGTTACTGCAAAACAGTTCAATAGCTGTCAGTTATGACATTACAGAGCTTTACAGCGTTATCTGCTAACACAGGGCAGGACGGCAGGATGGTGTAGATGTGTCTCATTTATGTACCTTTTTTTTTTCGGACCATAAGGCATACTGTCGATGAACAGGTCAGTTTTCATACATAAGGTGCACAGAATGATAAGGCGCATTAAGCGAAACAAAACAGTCAGATAAGTCAAACTTTACTCAACTCATTCTTCTTAATTCCTCCAATTCTGTACCATTGATTCAATAATGATGAATTTTCTCACAGCTGCTCTATTCCCATGTTGTTGCAGTATATTAATGACTAACCTCATATTGTGGATGGATTATCTCAGTTGTTCTTCTGACTGAAGTTTGGTCTGTTTACAGCATCCTGCCATGCGACTGCATTTGTCCCTAACCATCGGGAAACCTCAAGTTAACTTTTATAGAGTGGAAAAAAGTTAGAATTCATCCTCGAGCTTTAGTGTTTATCTTATGCTTACGTAGCTGTTTTGCTAGCGATCACATAGGACATCAATATATACCAGCTAGCCCATCTTCAGTAACCCTACCAACGTCACTGCTGTTTAGTTTTCTGTCTTAATTTATGTTGGAAGTGATAACAGAGTTGTACGTTTTAGTTTTTTCAGAAATCTCTCAGTCAGAACATGGCATCCGGTCTTAAGTCTGACGTCATTAGCCATGTCTGGATCCAAACTCTGCTGCAGATCCCAAAGCCAAACCATCATTGCCGAGAGAGGCTGACAATGATCACTGACTGTTTGTTGAGATTAAACAGAACAAGATACAAAGTATTAAAACAAGTTAAAAACACAACAGCCTTATTAAACGGAGAATAGTTTGGGCCCGAAAGCAAGATTCATCACGTCTTCACTTAAAGTCTAGATATCATGTTTTGGTGGAAGCTAGCGAGCTAACTTCCTGCTAACTACTAACATCTAGTTTGTGAAACAAAGAAATCCCTCGCAGTTTAACCATCACAGGTAGTTTTTTCCTGTGCCTGTGTTCACGACAAAGCTCAGAACCACAGAGTAAGATTATTTATAGCTCTGTGCTGAGGCTGAGCTGCAAGATCAGACTGCACATCTGACAGTGTGATGTTAAAAAGCTGGAAATCAGATCAACCGCCAACTAAAAGTCAGCTGAAATAGACTCTACAGTAATTAGAAAGCAGGCTACATTATGAGTTTTAGTACTGCTAATTAGAGCCGTCCTTTTAAAATGATGCCATCAAAGTTCACTCCACTGCTGAAAAACAGATAGTGACCTCAGTCTCACAGGGGTTATAAATGACACACTGTTCCTTTTGCTTCTGTCATCTAGAGCGGGTCAGCTACTAATACAAGGTTGCTGGTTCAATCCCTGGCTGCTCCAGGCTTCATGTTCCAGTATCCTTGGGCAAGATACTGGTCCAGAGTTGCTCCTGATGCTTTCATCATTGTGTCAATGTTAGACTGAAAACACTTTGCAACACAGTTACACGACTAAGCATGTAGTAGACACACAGTTCTACATGTGGATGTCACACGTTTTATGGATGTAATAGGTTGCAGTAAACTGCAGTGCCAGCAGAGGGAGACATTTTATTTCAAGCCAACATGAAAACAGTCATGGAAAACATTTAAAGAAACATTATTAACAGATTTAGATCTGCCGCCTAGCTCAATCATTTCTGGCATCTGGTATGTACTTCATACCTTCCTTGGTCATTTGCAACTGTGTCTGAATAATTGAGACTTGCTGTATAAAGTGTTTTGAGTCCTCAGGTAGAATAGAGCAGAGTTTTATAAGAACCAATGCATTTACCATTTACATTTGACTTGTAGCCTGAGTCATTATGACATGCAATGTGGACTGATTGTTGTACAGCCATCTCTGCTAGACTTGAGCACCCAAAATGCTTAATGTACAGAATTTAATGAGCAGGCTTCAAAATGTTTAACTTATTTAGACTAATTTCATTAATAATCCATTTTCCAGTTCCATTTACTCCAATATTTTAAAAACCATAACACTGGTTCACAGACCCATGATCATGACAATAACTCCAGGACCCTTGGTACACTGTTCACTTTACATCAAGGACATGCTGGCAGGTGAGAGTGGAGTGGGATCTCAAATTTAATTTACATTAACTGTGATTTCTCTTTCTTCAAAGTAGAACATCTGTGGATGAGAGAGCTGCAGGACTGTGATGATGGGGAATACTTTGCTGGCATTATTCTGTAAGTACACTGATTTTCTCTGTTTGTGTGCCACTAACTGAGAAAAAAAAATCTCTCTGTTACTTTGAGAGTTTGATTAGATCCAGTTGGGTTTTTTTTTTTGTTGTTGTTGTTGTTATTGATTTAAACATTTTTTAAAGTTACTCTGAGTTGAGTTTCTTTTACTTCTTCATTATTTTACAAATTACAAAAAGTCAATTATGTTTTTGTGATGTTTCGAGCCTGTTTATTATCACATAATATATGGGTACAAATATGTTGATGGGGCATCTGAAAAATCTGTTTATGATTGATAAAGTGTGGATATTAATCTTTATTCTAGTGTTCAGTACATTCTTCTCAGGAAATGCTGAAGGTGAGAAATTGTTTTCTTTGTTTTCCATTTGTGTGATGTGTTTAGTACTTACTTTTTTGCAGCTCCTTTTTTTTCTTATATTTGATAAAATTATATAGTTTTATATACTTAATTATGTGTGTAACATTGGGATATTACATACATGTTGTTAAACTCACCCATGAGGCTAATTCTCTGGTTTTGTACTTCATGCAGATCAGTTTTCTTTTTGTGAATTCATCTGGTTGTCTCAGCAGATTCCAATAGTAATCCAGAATAAGCCACTGCTGAGAATATGAGAACAACCACAAACACAGACAGTTTCATATTCTTCTTTGTAGTGATTATCTCACAAACTCACTTTTAAAAGTCTCTGAAACTTAAATGAAAATGTTTAGATTAATATGTGAAACTATAGCCTCCATATACATCCATGTGTTGTAATCTCATGACTCTAGTGTGAGTCATGTTTTAATTTGGATGAGATATTCTGCAACATTCATTTTATTTCTTTTAACTCAACAGCAAATAAACCTAGAGCCACACTGAGAGCACAAAGTTCAGTCATACCAGCAGGGGGCAGTGTGACACTGAGCTGCTCTGTGGAGGGCTCTGCTGGCTGGAAGTTTGACTGGTTCAGACGTGATTCAGAGTTTTCTGGAGCTCAGAAAATAGGAGCTGGAACATCAGAGCACACTATCAGTATTTCAGAAGGAGGCATCTATTACTGCAGAGGAAGGAGAGGAGATCCAGTTTTCTACACAGAGTACAGTGCTCCAGTTACAATTCAGAAACAACGTGAGGGTGAAATTTTGTTGTGAAACACAGTAAAACAAAAATTCATGATTAAATTAAAGTAGAACTTTGTAACTTTGATTTTATTTCGTTCACTGTTGGTTTGTTCATGAATATTTGTGTTTATTTGTTTGTTGAACAGTTTGGGCTGCTGTGAAACTGCAGCACAGCTGGTCTCAGATATTCACTGGTGAGACAATCACTCCCAGATGTGAGATTCAGGGAGGTGAAGGAAAGGTGTGGAAATATGAATGGACAGCACCCAACACAAACAGCCCTCCAACATCCAGTGAATACAGGATCAGCAGAGTTTCAGTGTCCCACAGTGGAGACTACAGATGTCGGGGTAGCAGTGACTATCTCTTAACAGGATGGAGTGATATCATCACACTGACTGTGTCATGTAAGTTTCATCTAAAGGAGGGAAAAATAAACATTTACTTTTATTGCTGTCTTTAATGCAACTTTTTCTAAACTGAACTGCAGATAAACCAAAGGCCAAACTGAGAGCTGATAACACAGCTGTTCCAGTAGGGGGCAGTGTGACCCTGACCTGCTCTGTGAACCCATCATCATCATCTGGATGGAAATACTACTGGTACAGAGATGAGAAATCCTCTGAAGCCCTGACCACACATGATGCAGTTTTTGTCATGATCCTGGGTCTTTTGACCCAGCGTTTTAAGTTTGAGTTTATTTTGTTCATTAGGTTATCTAAGTTCATTTGGTTATTAGACTCCTTGTGTTTTCTTCCCCTGTATTTAAGTTTCCCCTCAACCTTCGTGTTTCATGCTGCGTGTCTTATGTTATCAAGTTTGTATTATCATGTCTGTCTCATGTTTCCTGTTTTATTTTGAAGGAGTCGTGTGTTCTTTGTTCATTGTATTTAGTTTCACTTCCCTTGTCCTGTCATTAGGCTCATGTCAGTCAGCTGTTCCTCCATGTGTTCCCACTTCCCCTAATCACCTGCTGTGTATTTAAGTCCTCTATTTTCAGTGTGTGATTGTCAGGTCGTCTGTTGTTCATGCCATGCTTCCAAGTTTCTTGTCTAGGTTTTTCTTATTGTTTGTTTAGATTCCCCAGTTTAGGTTTGTGTTAATTTTGCTTCAGTTTGCCTTGCCCTTTGTTTGTACCTTTTCTACCAGCCATATTAAACGGCTCGCCTTTTGTTAACATTTCAAGTTCTGTTCCCTGTTCCTTGGAGTCTGCGTTTTGGGTCCTTTTCTCAATTCATACAGTCTGCTCTCGCCAGACTGTGACAGTTTTCCACTCAAATGGACAAATCAGTGTCTCACAGGAAGGACTCTACAGGTGCAGAGGAGGAAGAGGAAACCCAGTTTACTACACAGAGGACAGCCAGTCAGTCAGGATTGGGAAAACTGGTCAGTTCAAAGTTAATGAACCCCAAATCACTACCTGATGAAAAGTATCTGATGGAAATTGACCCCTTTTCTCATTCACTTGTTCATTTCCTGAATACAGTCCCAATCAGGCCTGTTGTGACTCTGTATCCAAACTGGTCTGAGATATACAGAGGAGAGACGATCACTGTCAGATGTGAGATCCATGGAGGAGACACTGAGTGGGATTGTGAGTGGGAAACAAACAGCATGATAAAAGCTCCAAATCAAAATGAATACAGGATTAGATCTGCTTCATCATCCAACAGTGGAAACTATCGCTGTAAGGGCAGAATGAAAAGTTCACAGCATAAAACAACAGAGTGGAGTGATTCAGTCACACTGACAGTTTCTGACAGTAAGTAGAGTCATAGTTCATTTAACCTGGAAATAGAAACAGTTTGTAAAAATGTGTTTTTATTAGTACATGTTGAGATATTTGACATGTTTAGATAGTCTCACTCTTAAAGTTCATCATAAATATTTGTGAGTCAACATTTTAGTGACATTGAATTCAGAGTTAAGAGACGAAACATTGAGAGAAAATCTTTGTTGAACAGATGAACCCCGTCCTGTCCTCACTGTGTCTCCATCATGGCTGAGTCCTGGAGCCTCAGTAACTCTGAACTGTGAGGTTGAACTTCCGTCTGCAGGATGGAGCTTCTACTGGTATAAAGCTGTTCCTGATCTATCAGAGAAATCCTCCAGTTATGAGCTGCTACCTGATGGCAGTGGGACTGCACAGGACTCCTACATCATTCATGGACAGACACACACAGCAGGATATGTGTGCAGAGCTGGAAGAGGAGACCCAGAGTATCACACTGATCACAGTCAACCAAAGTTTGTCTGGTCTGCAGGTCAGTTTGATTCTGTTTATCTTTTTTCAAGTAATGCAACAGCAAAAAAATGTAAATTGATGGTTTTTTTGGGGGGCGGGGTTAGCATTGAAGGTGAAAATTATACGAACATTGCGTCTTTTAGCACTGCCCTTTAAACATTAAAGCAAAAGAATATTTTCACTGTGATATTTTGAATGCTAACATCTGTGAGCTTTGTGTCTTCACTGCATGTTGTTTCCAGATGTTCATTCAGCAGCGTCTCTCACAGTGAGTCCTGACAGTGCAACACTTCACCTCTGACTCTGTCTCACTGACCTGTGAGGGAAACTTCACTGAGTGGAGAGTGAGGAAGTTCTCTGAGGACGGCCGACTCTCTGACTGTAGGAGAATGACTGGATCCACATGTGACATCAACACATCAAAGTCAGATACTGCAGTGTACTGGTGTGAGTCTGGATCAGGAGAGTTCAGCAGTGCAGTCAACATCACTGTACAGAGTATGTTATTATACATTTATTTCTTGGATTTTAATGAGTTAGACATCAAATGTGTATTTCTCCCATTATTTTCTTTGTGGCATACAGTATTTTTACCGTAGTCTTTAAGTGTACAAGATCAGATCTTCATGATGAAAAGCATTTGTACAATCTGTTCTTATTATTGTTTGTCAGCTTTTTCTAAAAGTGTGCAGCAGCTGATGTGACTGAAACAATTGTGTGTGTGATTGTGTCACAGATGATGGTGATGGTCCTATCCTGGTGAGTCCTGTTCATCCTGTGACTGAGGGAGCTTCTGTTAGTCTGAGCTGCAGTTTGAGAACACAAAAAATACTTTCCAATGTGTTTTTCTATCACAATGACAAACTTCTTCAAAATGATCCCCGAGGGGAGCTGAAGATCTCTGCAGTGTCAAAGTCTGATGAAGGTTTCTACAAGTGTCAGTACTCAGGAAGAGAGTCAGCACAGAGCTGGATGTCAGTTAAAGGTGAGCAGGAGCAAAACATTTGATGGATTTTTATAAATGAATTTTGGTTTAAGGCTTGAAGTCACCTCAATTTATTTTCTGAGAAGTTTCCTAAAATGATTTTATGAATTATAAAGTATAGTTAAACTTTATTGTTTGTTGTCACAGTAACTGTGTCAGGAGCTGACAGCTCTTCGTCTCCTGTGTGGTTGATTGTTCGACTGGTTTGTGGAGTCTCTCTCATTATTATTCTCCTGCTCTTGTTGTATCGCTGCACAACAACCAACAGTGAGACCTTTTCCTTTACTTAACACAAACTCTTTATCCTTCAAAGACACAAATCCATCACGAGGTTCATTTAAAAGCAAAAGTCTTATTCTACATTTTTAATAAAGGTGCTGTTAATGAGCAGATGTTTAATCAACACCATCAGCAGCAAGTGTACTCCTCTCTTCTTGCTGGTTAGTTTTTCATCCAGTTATAATATTTTGCCTGATGTTTGCAACAAGACTGTACTTATTAAATCTGCTGCAGCTTTTAATATAAATGTTATTTTCAATATTTGTTTTTTAAAATAGCATCACAGACATGAGGTGACTGATTTTCTCTGACCTGCAGGTGATCGTTGTGGCTATGAGATAATCAGAAGGTCTGAAAACTCTGAAAATGGTAAAGTATAAACTTTCATTAATATTGAGCTTGTGGACGCTGGATGATTATATAATAACTGTGTTTAACATTGAAGTCCATGTGTCCAACTATTTTCTTACACTTGGGGACCAGGTCGTGGGGGCAGCATCCTAAACAGAGAGGCCACATCCTCCAGCTTGTCTGGGGGAACACCAAGGCTTCCCACACCAGCCGAGAGATATAATCTCTTCAGCATTTCCTTGTTTTGCCCCAGGGTCTCCTCACAGTGGGACATGCCTGAAAAAATCACACATGAGGCATCCTTGTCAGATGCCTGAACCACCTCAAATGTGGTTCTACTCTGAGCCCCTCCCACATGGCCAAACACCTAACGCTATCTCTAAAGGAGAAGCAAGCCAAACTTCGAAGTAAGCTGATTTCCACTGCTTATATCCACGATCTCGTTCTTTGGGGTCACTAACCCAGAGCTTGTGACCATAAGTGAGGGTAGAGATGTAAACTGAGAGCTTCACTTTTACGGTCAGTTCTCTCTTCATCTTGACGTACCGGTACAGTGGACGTAGCGCCAATCTACTCCCCTCTCCTCCTGTGAGTGGTGGGCCTATAGGAGGGTGGACCCACGTCCTTTTTTTGGGCTATGCCCAGCCGGGCTCCATGGACCAATGCCTGGCCACCAGGTGCTTGCTCTTAGGCACCCTCCCCAGGCCTTGCTTCATGGGACCCCATTAACCCTTTCAAGGGCAGAGTGAACTGTTCCTTTCATTCAGGTTTTTTTTTTTTTTTATTATTCTTTGTCTGGTCCTGGGTGAGGGACCGGATAAAATTTGCCATGGGAGACCCTACCAGGAGCCCCCCCCCTCCTCCTCCAACAACAACACAGCCCCTGGGATCCATGGGACACACAAACCCCTCCAAGATAATAATTTAGAGATTCACGGAAGGGAACATTAACATCAGTAAGATTATTATTTCATTGCTGCCAATGTCGCATCTGTGATTCAGCTCAAAGTCATTAACAAGACAAGTGAGTGCACAAAATGTGAGATTTAAAATGCAAAATGTACATTGGTAATTATTCTCACTGATAATAAATGTATTTAAGCAGAGAACAGAAGGTGTTTGTTTTGAAATGCTTTCATTTGATCACCTCAACAGGGCGACGTGGTGACGCAGAGGAGAGCTCTGACTACAATAATGTCAATCTGTCAGGGTGCTGGGTCGTTGACCAAAGATTCTGAGGTTATTTTGCTTTTGTGAGTCTCTCTGTGAAAGTGTGAAGATGGTTTAAGTTTATACAGTTTAAGCAGGAGTTTAGTTCTTTCTGTGTTTCTGAGTTTTCTTGTATTTCCAGTTTATGGTTTGTTGTCTGTGAGGTTCCACTTGTGTGTTTGTCTCATCCCTGTGTCGCTTGTGAGAGTCTGTCGTGTCATCCATGCCTCTGCTCACTCGCCCTCCGTGTGTCTTAGTAGTGTCAGTGTGTTTTGTCTCTCTGTTTGTTTATCCCTGTTTCTGCATCAAGCTCGTGCGTTCGTGTACTTCCTGTTTTAGTGTGACAGTATTTCATCCTGTGTTCAGTGTGTTTGGTTTGGCTTCCCTGTCTCGTTATATTCAATTCATCAGAGCTGTTTTCCAATGTGTTTCCACTTCACTGATCATCTCTCAATCCTTCCAAGGTGTTTCAAGGTATTCCCAGTGTTCCACATTTTCTGTTAGTTTAAGTTTTAGCTTTCCCAGCTTAGTTTTTTTTCTTTATTTTTTTTCTTTATTTATTTTTGGTTAACCTGATTTGGTTCATGTTTGTTGGCCATGAAAAACGTTTTTTTGTTAAAATTTTGATTTTGTCTCTCGTTGTCTGCATTTGGATCCTTACAAAGAGCCACAGAGTCTGCAGCCACAGATTGTGACAAAATCCAAATTCAGCCACAGCTCTAAAGTCTTAACAGCAGCTCTTTAGCTGTTTTTTCTCTTTAAAGTCTCTTAAATGCTTTAAGTCACTTTGAGTGAAAAGGAGAAGGTTTTGAATTCAAAGCAATGATCCTGATGCCTGAGTTTATATTTCCTTCAGAAAGAATCGTTTAGTGTGTTTCACTTGTTTCTCTCCCCTTAGATAATAATTTTTATTTACTTTAATGTACTGTAGATCTTTTTTTTTTTTATCTTTTTAATTGTTTATTTTTGTAATATATTATAAATGTCTTTCTGTGAAGCACTTTGCAACTTTGTTAATAAAAGTGTGATATAAATAAAGTGTGTTGTGTGTCAGACTGAGAGTACATGTTACAGCTGTTCAGTGTTGTGCATGAATCCACTGAAAGAGAGCTTTCATTTAAAAGCACTCATTGTCATTTAAAACGGCTTCAAACCCTCCAAAATGAACTAAAGCTATCAACGTGATGGGAAGTAACAACTGCTCTGATGATGCTCAGCAGCCTTTTTACTGTGTAGCCGTTTTTCCAGATTCATTTTGATAGTGTCAATCACATGTTCAGCAAGACCATGATAACTCTGTGTGTGACACATAAATCAAAATCAAATCGCTTTTAAACTACTTACAATATAGTTTCTAACTTTCTCTTCTGCTTCATGACTTTTTTATGCACTGAAATTAAAGGAGCTCGTGATTTCTGACTGAGCCACATAGAGAAGAGGAAACACAGCCTGTGGTTTGAGCCACAAGTCTTCCTTTCAGCAGATTTATGATTGATTCATGTTCTCATCAAACTTCACACAGCAGAGAGGAAACAAGGAGTTCAGACAAAGATCACAGCGGGAATTTCATGAGCAGCTGTTTGATTTGTTCGTTTAGTGCTTCTGTGTTCACTTTACTGCTACATGTGTTACTCGAACATTTGAAGCTATTTATTTATTGTCAAAGAACCATCAAGTCGTTTAATGTAAGTTCTCATATTTTACTTTTTAGATGCACATTCATTTTAGTTTGTATCTGTGTGGGTTTCCTCCATGAACTCCAGCTTCCTAACAGCTGTTCTTATCATTATTTATATGTTCATTTAGTTATTCTGTTTTCATTGCTACCCAAAATCTTGCGAACAGAACATTTGAAGTCATCTAGTCTCCACATCAGAGAGACATCAGTGTTCAAGGTCGGTCCTGTGACAGGCTTTAAGTGTCAGTGTGGATATAAAGTTATAGCTCCTTGTCCCATATTTCCCATGTCAAACTCTGAACACAGCTTCCAAGTCCAATCACTGGACTGTGCTTACAGCTGGTGGCCAATAGAGGGAGACATTAATTCATTTATAATTTATTGTAAGGAGTGAGAAGAGTTGATATGACTGAAGAACAGACAGAACAGAGGAATGATATTGACTTTGGACCCTATCATGAAAATAATCAGGCCCTGGATGGATGTCATAGTGATCAAAGCATTTACATTAATACACTTTAAAAATACAGTTTCATTAATAAAGTTTTATTGGACTCAAATAAATAGTAATCATGGGCGGATCGATCCAAATATTGATCATTTTGATACCAGCATTTGTATCAATGTTGATCAATACGAGTGTAATGAGCTTGATGCTTCAGTTTCTGTTCTCCTGTATGCACCGCTGCAGTTTCATCAAAGAGGCAACCTGGCTGTCTGTGTAAATGCTGCTGCTTTCAGGTGTCACAGAGCAGCCACAGTTTGCTTCTCTTCTCTTGTGTTTTATGTTTTACTGTCACTGACTCAGCAGTGCCAGGCAAACAAGTAATCGAGTGTGCTCAGCTAACCAGGACCGTCCAGCAACGCAGTAAGCAGAGAATATCTATGTAGATAACTGTGGTAATAGTAATATTTCAGTTATATTACTTTAATTTTCAAAGTGGGACCGGCTGATTCTTACTCATAAAGTGTCATTTATGCTAAAACATTGATATAATACATTTATCTGACTGAAACATTTAAATGAAAACAATTACAGGAATTGAAACAAATATACCAAACATAGTATGACTCAGATTTAATTCAATATAATTACCCTGTTGTGCTAAATGTGAAAAAGATACTGTCTGATTACTGTAGTTAAAATACTATTAGATGTGCTAGATTATTGTTTTTTATTTCGGTCCCAGGTTTTAACTAATTAAAAATCCAAAGGACAAAAGAAAAAAACTTAATGGTCATGAAAACTCCTTCATTCAGGATTAGCAATCTGATGATGTAGTTAATACTTAAAAAGTATTGGTACTGGTATCAGTATCAGTGATACAGGCCTTGTATTTTACTTGGTATCAGATTAATATCAAATCTTGCACACACATCTTATTGCACACGTCCAGAAATAGTGAAATATTAAATTTATTAAACTGTTACAATTTCAGCACCATGGACAGCGCACAAGGTTCTCACTGCATGAGCTGTGCTCTCTAACACGTGACTGTTTGTCGTGGTGGACCTGCACAAATTTAGCTGCATGCACATATAGATCTCTCTTTCACATTTATGGGCATAGGTTAATAATTTTCATTAAAAAGAAAAATGAAATAATTTACTGTTGTACTGTTTCTAGGGTCCCTGTCCCTGGGTTACATCATGTCACTGCAACAGTGTAATTATATTTGAAATAAGAAATCTCAAGAGAATCTGTCACTCTCTCTGCCCACAAAACCAGATCTTTGTGTAACTTCAGACAGTCAGATCCTTGTCATTCTCCATCTTTCTCATGCAAAAACACCTCTCCAATATAAACACTGGGTTGTGTTTAGAGCTGGTATTCAACAGAGGGCGCAATTGAGTTATTTATTGCAATGAATTAGTCTGCTTGGATGACTGTTAAATATTCCAGTCCTTCTACTTGTAAGTCACTGGGTGTCCATCTGAAACTGGGAAATTAAGGAGGAGTCGGCCTCATTAAGTGCTAAATGACCCAAGAGAACAGCCTTGATTGCTGCCACCATGCCTCGCAGGGTAACTGCACATTTATCACCTCCAGCTGGGACTGCAGAAACTGCAGGATCATGTCAACTGTGGGGGTCCAGCTGGTGGACCACACCAGGAGGCCAACAGCCACCAGCAGAAGGATTA